AAAAAGTTCTTGCAGTTGGGCTAAACAGACCGACGACTGCAAAGCAGTCTGGCCTCACAGATGCTAGAAAGAGAATCTGTGGACTTTTGCTGGCTGTGTCCGTTACTCCGCTTCCTCGCACAACAGATGAAGGGGTGGAGCCACCACCTCTTGAATATAGGCTAGTATCATGCTTTGGTGTCTTATTTACACTATTTCGCTTGCTACCCTCAAGGTTGGCAGTGCAAACCCGCCAGCCATTGTGCAGGAGAAAGATGAGCCTTTCTGGTCCCATAAATATTACAGCCACAGAAACTCAATGGCTGGGGTTGGAGTGTTAAGGTGTGCGTTCTTTGATCCTCATAGCCAAACAGTAGTGTCGGTATAAGAACCAAACCCATCGCCATCGAGTCATTTCTTGCTCATACAACCCCATGGGTGCTGTAGGGCCTCTTGGTGGTATCAGACCACCACACCATTCTTTTGCAGCACTACTGAATGGATTCGAACTATCCACCTTTTGGTTAGCATCATAATGTACAATGCACAACCCAACAGCCTGATAAGGGGTAAGAAGGATTCTCATTTAATAGGTGAGAAGACAGAAGCCCGAAGAGAATAGTTTGTCCAATGCCAAAGCTAGTACAGGGTGGGGCAGCGTTCCATTATAGTGGAATTCTTGTGCATCACAGACAGTCTAAGTGTTTTCCATACCAAAATTATTTCTGGTTCAATACCGTTATGAGGTTTTGTCTGTGTAATCACTGCCTCTTAACATAAAGCCAGAAAGTATCCAGAGTAGGGCTTCAGTTAAGGAATATCATAGAGTCTCCACATTTTCACAGCGATGATAAACCCTGCCTCCATCGTGCATTTAAAACACATGTCGTCCATTGATAAAGCAGTCATCTGCTCCTGGGTGACGTAGCAATGAATTATTAAAGCAAAATACATGACCGCTCAAGGCATATGTATAAAATATGTTCTTCCCAAGGCATCCAACTGTAACTTTTGTTTTCCCCTTGGAGCAAGAAGGCATCGCGAAGAGGCACACAGGCCAGTGCTTAGACACTGAGTTTAAATCTGAGCATTTTCCAAACTAAAAACTGTAAAGAAGTGGGTGCCGAGAATGATCCTAAAATTAGCTGAGGCCATGAGAGGTCACCAGAATGGGGAGCAAATGTCCCCCACCAGGGCTGCTGAAGCCCCCAGGGACAGTCTTAGTCCTAACAGACAGCCCATGGCCACTTCACTGCTCTGCTAGATGGCGTCTGGCCCCAGATTTATTGCCCCCTCTGGCTATGCGAGCATTAATAAAAGATTTGAAATATTGTAAGCAACAGACCATGAGCAAGCTGCCAGGAATACTAAGGGAGGAAAGTGTGTCCCAGCATTTATTCATTGTGAGTTGACCAGCCCCTCCCCTCATTCCAACCAGTTGGTGAATGCTCCATCAGTCGAGAATTACCAGCACTGAGTGGGAGGAAGAGAAAGTCCACCAGGTCTTGTCCGTTCTTGCTAGTGAGCTCTTTACACCAAAAACCAAATTCACTGCCATCAAGTCAATGCTGACTCATAGCAACCCTATAGGACAAAGTAGAACTGCCCCCCCACCCCCATGGGTTCCTGAGACTGTGCCTCTTTAAGGAATACAAAGCCTTGCCTTGTCTCCTCCCCCCACCCCCACCCCAGGGTCCTTTCTGTGACTCACAAACCTTGACACTTACACCACAAATTAAACCTGGAATTCATGGCAAGGAAGTGGGACCAAAAAGGTGCCTGGGACATCATTTCCTTGGCTCACCTGAAATCCCAGGAGATCTCTGAATGGCAGCCCCAGGCCCATCTGCTGCTAATTTCTAGAACAGACATGGCACTGACAGCTCTTGGAGGCTGTACCCTTTCTTCTTGAACACCACAAAAGACATCCCCACCCCCGACTCTCTACAAAGACATGTAAGTGAGCGGCCCACTTTCAGTACCTTGCTTCCTGGGTAAACTTAAACACATTACTTCTCCTCTGTAACACTCTGTATCCTCATCCTTCAAGCAGAAAATCGTGTTTGCATGTTTGCATTGATGATGCATGTGAGGTTGGAAACAGAGTACTGAGCGCACCCTGGTGCTCCTGCCCAGGTTAGACCATACTAGCTGTGGCGTTTAAAAGCCAACATGGAAACACCATTTAGGATGAACAAATTAGAGGAATTCTTTTGTGAAATCAAGAATCCTCTTGTAAAGTGAACTTACCTGTTTTGCATTTCTGTTACTAGATTGCTATCAGATACATAAGACTATACTTCTAAAGGATTAGACTGCTTCTGTCATAGCCTATTGACACCAAAGCAGCTCCAAATCATACCAACCCTATGGGGCATGGTAGTATAGTGGATTACGTGTTGGCTTAATAACCTTAAAGTCAGCAGTTCTAAACCACCAGCGGCTCTGAGGAAGAAAGATGAGGCTTTCTATACCCATAAAGATTTATAGTCTTGGAAACCCACAGAGTCAGTTCTACTCTGCCCTATATAGGCTTGCCGTGAGCCGGAATTGACTCGATGGCAGGGAGTTACCACAGTCCATATAGTATATCAGCATGCAGAGGCTGTACATTGTTACAGGAAGAGCTAGCCCTAGCTCGTCCTGAGGAGTGGCTGGTGAGTTCAAACCACTGACCTTGCAGCTAGCAGGCTTACAGGTTGCCAGTTCTCACAGTGTGATTCTGACTCACAATGACCTTCTGTGTCTCGGGAGAATTGCTCTGCAGGATTTTCAGGGGCTGGTTACTTGGAAGCAGGTCTCCTGGGCTTCCTCCCGAGTTGCCTCTGGGTAGACTTGAACCACTAACTTGTCAATGAGCAGCCAAGCACATTCCCCTTGGCATCACCCAGGGACTCACCACGAGTCAGAGTCAACCTGAAGACAGCTGCCCTACAGTTAGCGCTCGGTCACTGTTAGTTTTAAGGTTCTATGATTGCTATTACCAATAGTTGACTCTCCGATTGAACTACTTAATAAACTGAGGCAACACTCAGATATTAAAAAAGATGTAAAAGATTATTTGGATTACAGTACAGGAAACCACAGCATTGATGTATGGTGCCAGAAAAAGCCAGACATCCTATATGATTGCCCACAACTTCTAATTTCTCTACCTGTAATTTATACAAGGACTTGGACCTCGGGTTCACTTTCACCTCCCAGTTGGCCTTGCTCCGCTCCCTTGGGGTTTAATCTGTCTTCTTCATTAACATGAAGTCCCACCCCCTGTTTCACTCTCCCTCACTGTTTTAAAGCTTAATGAAAGCCGACGCCTAGGAAAAGCTTTGGTTTGTCTCATCGTGTGCGAGGCAGCCTTCGGAACAACAGGCTTGCAGGTGTAGCTAGGCTAAATGCAACGCCAAGCGCTGGATCTCCCCATTGACCCATTTGAAAGTTGTTTCCGTTTTTATTATCTTCGACATTCTTTTCCATTGAGGTTTTTCTCTGTTTTGTATAGTCGTTATCATTGGGATTTGTTTTGTTTTGGCTCCCTGTTGGTGTTTTGTACATGAAATTCAGGATAGGTCAATCTGTAAAGATAGGAGCTGGGTTAATAATTGCCTAGAGGCGTAGCAGGGAGGGTGTGAGGAAATGGGGAGCGGACAACAAAGAGGACAAGAAGAAGATGTTCTGAATTGATTGTGGTGGTGATTGTGCAACACTTCTGAATGTGATTGGATGGTTAGATTGTGTGACATGTACAGTGTCTGCCACTAAGAATATATTTTAAAAAGAAAAATGTCCGCAAGGCCACTATGCCCTTTGGATATGAGGAAGCAGTCAGGAATCACACCACGTATGTGGTGACAGGTATCCCATGTCCTCAGTCTCATCAGGGACCCTGGCAAGGATGGTTTGTGCACCCAGCTCTGCAGTGTACTCCAGATTATAAAGGTGTACACTGGTTGTAGTACACTAGTAAACGTGGTATATGCTTCCTCCTTTTTATTACACCAGGATGTTATCTGGAAAGGTAGATTTCCAACTTATATTAGGAAACTGAGTCTAAATAGTGGTGGTAATACTTTATTTTATTCTATTAAGAATTTTTCCAGCAGTAAGCCGAAAATCAAACCAGCAATATGTGCCCAATCCTATGGAGTTCATATGGACTTATAGTGACCCTGAAGGACAGCATAGAACTGCTCCTTGGGGTTCTAAAGGTGTCCTCTGCAAGAAAAGACTGCTACATCTTTACGTCTTTCTCCCGCAGCTGGTGGGTTTGAACAGCCGACCTTTTGGTTAGCAGCTGAGCCCTTAGCCACTGGGCTCCATTTGCCAACATATTTGATGAACTAACCATTTATTTCTATCTAGTGATTTTTCAGCCATTGACATTTGTTTCCATTGCATTAAACGTGGCACAAGAGGGAAAAGAAGGGGAAAAGGAAGGGAGGGAAGGAAGGAAAGAGAGGGCTTCAAAGTTGCCTGAAGTGCTCAAATCCACCATGTTGCAACAGCCGGAGGCTTCGGGGCGGTTTTCGCCACCGCAGCCTAGAGGAGCGTGCTCCCCCAGAGACAGAGGTGAAGTCATTCTTTATCCAAGGACCCCAGGCCTCTTCCCCACCAGACGCAAGGGTGGGCACCCCTAGAATAAACCCCTCCTGATTGCAGTTACTTTCTCTTGTTTTTGGCTTTTTTCCCCTGTCAGCTTTGACCTCAGGCTAACCACTGTCAGATTGAAAATTTCTAGAGAAATTTCTAAATTTCTAGAGCTTTGCAGTAAAATGTCAAAGAAGAGGTTCTTAGTTCTCAGAAGGCCTGCCTTCAACAACAACAACAAAAAAAACCAACTTAGACCTTTTTCTCTGCAATTTGCATCACTGATGCAAAAAAGGTCCTAGAGAGAGGGCAAAAGAAAAAGGATACCAGTAATCAAAAATTCAAAAAGTCTGATCATTTAAGTGATGCCATTTTGAATTTGGTGCACACTGTTATTAGAATGTTAGTGGTGGGGGGGGACTATCAATCTTTTTCATAAAGTAAAACATTTAAGTATTCTGTTGTATAAGTAAGTTCTAAAATCAAGAAAATATAGATGATATTTTAAATCATATTCCCCCCAAACTTATTGAAGTCTAAGTTATTATCAAGATAAACTAAAATGATGGCTTAATCTTATATTATTCATTGGTCAAAACATAAAGGGGGAGACTTTTCTCTAAATGTCTCCTTGTAATGCAGCCCTGAAAGCAAACGAACCCAAAGCCCTGCCATAAGTCCATTCTGACTGATAGAAATCTCAAATGGGGTTTCTGAGGCTGTAACACTTCCAGGGAGCAGGGAACCTTAGCTTTCTCCTGAACACCGGCTGGTGAATTCCAACCACCAACCTGGGGGCTAGCAGTCCTGTGTTTATCGAACAGTGGCACCAGCTCCTCACCCAACAAGAGTTGCTGTTATGTAAAATCAAACTCTCTCTTTTTATAACCCCACCACAAATGTTCCAATATACTTTAGCTTGTTTTTACCCATAATACGGAACCCTGGACACAATGGCTAAACTGAGCTGTTAAATAGTGGTCGTCAGTTCTTACCCACCAGCAGCCTCCTGGGAGATTAAAAAAACACACAACAACTTGGCCGTGAGGTCCCATAAAGATTACAGCTTACAAAGCCTTCCAGGGCAGTTCGACTCTGTCATATAGGTTTGCTGCGAGTCAAAATCGACTCAGCCTCATGCCACAGCACCAACACACTCAAAGAATGCTGAACTTTTAGACAAGACTTCCCAAGTGTAGTCTTAAATAGGCCATACCCTGAAATAGCTCATATTTTTTGCCAGATTTTTATGGATTAATGTTAAAAACTTGGTGACCCTATTAGTATTTCCTAGTATAAGACTATTCTACCCAGATTGCCAGCTGACATAATCTAATGCCAGGTGTCAAATATATCAACTCCCCTCCATACAGAACCTGTGAAAGCTGTACTGAATTTAAGAATTTGTAAGGCTGACATCGGGATCTGAGTCAGTAAAGCAAACAAGCTTTATGGGCAGAGGCTGGCCCTATAGGAATGTGGCTTCTGTGGTGAGGAGACCGTCTGTGGCTGTCGTAACTCTTGCTCATCTGTCCTTCCTGGAAACAGTACGAGGAAGGAGCCTGAGTTATCATCTGTGATTCAGACACATTAACAATAGGAATGCCAGAGGCAGAAAATGTGCAATTTCATGCTCATTAATTTCAGAGAGGATTTACAAATTAACCTGGCTGGAAATATGACTCTTTCCCAATGCCTGCAGGCATCATCAAGCGGCACAATTACCATAGATGCTACCTCAAGGTTGACCAGATGGACCTATTGATCCCTGTGTGCAGATCAAGGGTCGGGCTCTGTGCAGGAGACCTTATATCTTAGAAGAAAGCTCCCAAGAGAAGATGATCCCTCCCACCTCCCCTATTGTGAGGCACTGAATGGTTTTCCATTTCCTGCTGTTTTCCGCTAGTTAGACCTTTAGGCTGTGGTTCCAGAGGTAGTATCCTAATATTGATCTTCTTTTCAACCTAACAGAAAACCTAGTGGTGCACTGGGGCTAGGCACAGGGTTGCTACCACAATGTCAGTGGTTCAAACCCACTAGCCACTGAGGAAGATGCACCTGTCTGCTCCCGGAAAGATTGACAGCCTTGACAACCCTGGGTATGGCTGCTGTGAGTTGGAATGGACTCCCCGGGGATGGATTTGGTTTGGCATTTTATAACCTAAAGTGTAAATTGACTAATCGGTTATTATGATAATCAATCGATTCCCCTAGGTCAGGTGACTTAACATGTACCCCGGGCACCCATAACACTGCCATTTTAGAACAACTGCCATTGTTAAAGGATTTAAGGTAACTCCAGAAGAGATGGAATTCACTCAAAACCATAACATTGCAATGAAAGAGATTGCAAACTACTTCAGGAAATCTTGCCATAATCGATTTGATAACTGTAGGACACTCTTGGAGTCTTCCCGCCAGCTTCCTCACATGTACTGGTACAGACAAAACCCCATGTAGCATCCAGACAGGTGCAGACCCTCCCCACCTGTGCACCTGCTGTTGCTCAGCTCAATCGGACACAGGCATCCCCATTTGGATGTGCACACAAACCACCTGCACATTTGGTTAAGTGCAAATCTCCTGGGTCAAAGATAGGCATGCTATTCTACATCCCTGCCAAGCTCCCGAGGAGTCCCACGGCACTGGTGCAGAGAAACTAGGAGTTAGATCATAGATCAGAGTAAGAATGTTGGTTGTGTGGGTGATATTTATTCCCTGAAATGACTATGAGATTGTGCTTCACATGGTTTTATGGGACGGTCTATCTTTGTTAAGAAACCACTGGAATGTGTTTGTTTTTAAAATGGTATGCTCTGTGTGGGTGATTCCCCACCCCCACCCCCCACCAAAATGCGAAAGCATAAAGGCCTGGCCCCTTTAAGAATAGAAGCACATTTGTGTCTGAATTACAGAACTGTAAGGAAACCTGCAGAGTCACGGGTAGACATTAACTCCCTGCAGATGCAAAACAAACAACAAAAGGACGAGGGAAGGTAGCTGAGTGGAAAAGGAGAACCGATCTAAATGGGACAGAGGCTGATCGGATGGACCCGCGGCACAGCCTCCTCCTCCACCGTTCAAGCTGAGGCCGTCCCTGCTCCTACGGGTGTGAGCCTCACTATGGGGACCAGTTCATGGGGTTAGGAGAGGAGAGAAAATGTAACCCATTCTCAGTGATTGGCTGAAAGCAGCGATCATGCAATAGCTTCAGTGTGGCACAGGAACAGAGCAGAGCTTTCTATAGAACCCAGAAGCTGCCTGCCTTCAGAGAAGATCGAGGGTGCCCCTTTTCCTTAGGCCTGGAAAACGATTTTGATCGAGGATGAAGGTTCATTTAGGAATCTTCCAGTTGGCATCTGACCCATGGACTTGCATTGGACTTGGCCAGGCCACTGCTTTGATATCACTCTTTCTTGATATAAAGTCCTTTCTTATCAATAAACTAACAGGCAAATACATAAATTAAATAATGATTGAAGATTGAAGAGGAGGGTTTTGATCATTTCATGGAGTGTATATATGTTAAATCTTTCGGGGACACTGTGCCTTTATACATGATTTTAATTTTTAAAAGAGAGAAAGACATAAAGAAGTCATCTTGCCCAAACCCCATGACAGCTAATCCTACAGGAAATGCGTCCCTTTTCTTTCCTGTTGTAGAATGTGCCATCCGACCACCGGGGGAGCTGGAGAGCTAGCGCCCGGCGCAGGGAAATGCCCACACCGTGTTCCTGCTCCGCCGAACTGAAAAGGACCGTGGTTCTCGCCACATGCCATCCCATGCTAGTCATAGCCTAAAATGGCCTGTCTCTGAGTTTTCTGACTGCACAATTCTGGATCACTTCATTGTGGCTGAGCCCCCTTCTCTTCCCAGAAGTAAGCAAGCTCCCCCAGCACCCTAAATCCCACCACCACCTCACCACCACATGCCAGGAGTAGTCAAGGACAGGGTTTCCATTTCGGTCCTGTGAAACAACGATGAGCCTGAATTCAGTCGCCGTTCCCTGAAAGCTGACTATCTTAGTACTCAGTCCCTCCCTTAGTACTGGAGACTGACCCCCAGGCCCCGGGCCTGTTGCCAGGAACGACCACTTGAGAAGTACATCAGGCTTGGTAAAGTAGAGGCGCAGTGAAAAGAGGAAGGCCCTCAGCAAGACGGTTTGACGCCGTGGCTGCAACAGTGGGATCCCCACAGGAGCACTGTGAGGAGGGCACAGGGTCGGGCAGTATTCTGTTCCCTTGTGCTCGGGGTTGCCGTCGGTCGG